AGAAAATGGTAATGTGATGCTTTTGTCATTACTTTCAATATTCAAGGAAATTAGGGTTTCTAATGGCTTGATTGTGCTGTAACTCTTAGGATGATAAACACATCGAAGACCAGCTGCAGATTCCTATGTTTCACAATTTAACTCAGATTGAATTGTGCTATTTTGATTATGCTCACTACTGGATTGATCTGTTTGAAATACTTGAATATTGCCCCAAGCTTCAAAATCTCTCTATTTACATGGTTTGTTGAGTTACTATAATAACAATTTATATTTTGTTTTCTTCACATGTTTGCATTTATTTTGTTTGTTAATGCATGTTATCAGGAGTGTCCAGAAAACGCACCTGAGCGCGGTGTAAAAGAAGATTGGTCATGTCCACCACGTGTTCCCAAATGCATCTCATTTCACCTTATATCATGTTGCCTTAACAAGTACAGTGGCACTTTTGGGGAGTTTGAATTTGCAAAATATATTTTGCAGAATGCAAGAGTTTTGCGGGACATGACAATCTCCACTTGTGAAGATGAAGAGGAAAAGGAAAAACTTGAAATGATAAAAGAACTATCGTTGTGCATAAGAATCTCTTCAACTTGTAAACTATCATTTAATTGATACTCTCATGCAAAGCTTAGGGTAATAGCAACCTACAAGTAGTAATTTGATGTTTTGATTTTGATGGCTTGACGATTTGATTTTAATGTATATCGAATTGGTCGAGTGGACTTCTTACTTTATTTTTTTTCTTTTAACTAATAAACTTTTATATAATCAAATTCTTATATATTAAATTTGAACCTCAATATTTATAATATTTTTATAAATTTTACCTTGTGATGCTCGGCTAGATAGGAGTCCAATTTGACCTGACCAAGTTAAGTGATACTCCCTCTATTTTTCTTTTCATAGTCATTTTGACACTATTTTTTTGTTCTTTTTTCTTTGTCACTTTTCTAAAATCAATGGTTTATTAATTTTCTTTTTCATTTTTATCGTTGATAATTAATGTGTGTATACTGAACAATGTGTTTATTCATTTTCAATGAAACCTATTTTTTCTCCAATTACCTAAAGGGTATAACAGAAAAATAAGTAATAAATATTTTGAAAAACTAAAATATCAATTATTTTCTTAATTCTTGTACATAAACCTTAAATGTCAAATAAAAAAAAATGAGAGAACATAAGTATAATCTTCAATATTATTTGTTGCCAACTAAGAAAAAAATAAATTTAAATATAATAATCTAAGTATAATGTAATTAATAATTTAATTTTATAAAATAAAAAAAATTAAAATAGTGTACCTAAAAAATATGTGATTTCACTATTGATAGGCTTATACACACGTAGTATAATATATCTATGATTATATAACATGCCATATAAAATATTAGAAAAAGAAAAGTATATTAAGTGATCACACACTTCACACCTGGTGTAAAAATAGAAGAAAAATAGACAATGTCTTTGTTTACTTATATTTTGAAAGAAAATAATATAAATACAAAGTGCAACCTGCTCCTAAAATTTAAATAAAAAAGAATGTAAATATAGTTTCATAAAAAGTGTATTTATAATATAAAAAGGTAGTGAATCGACTAGTAAAATTAGAGGAAAAAAAAAAAGAGTATGGAATCGATATCGGTGTTTCGGTTTTCAGTGTATTGTTGTTGTACACGTCCATTAAACGCTGCTGAGGTGACGAGTATCAATTCATATAATAGAAACTTGAAAAAAGTTGGGCCTCGAGTCTTATCAACTTTGGATATTCAGAAGACACTTAAGTAGAACCGTAAGTGGGTTACGTGGCATTGAATTTGGAAAAATTCGTTATTAGGTCCGATTAAGATTTAATGAGTTGAATTTATATAATTTATTTTTAAACTTAATCACAAATAGATTGGATTGAGTTAATTGAGTTAACATAATTATATTTATTTATTTTTTATAAAAATTAAAATATTTTAAAATAGATATAAATTATTTGATATATTGTTGTAAATTTTATGTTATTAACCTATACAGCAAACAATGATACAAATTAAATTCTAAAATAAATTTATTAATTTGTTACATTATTATCAATTCAAAAAATCAACATTAATTAATATAAAATAATATTTAAAATAAATATAATATATTGTTACAATGCTATTGTTCTTACAAGACTGAGGTCGGACTTTCAGCTCGGATGATTTACCTTGTCCATGTTGGTCCTGTAAGGAATTTGATGAAGTTGGCCTGCTCAACAAGTCTTCTTGGTCGATCCCTCTCTCACGCGTCTCGGATGTACCTGCAAAAAAGACTCTGACGATCAAGTTAGTTGTCTATCCTCTCTCATGTGTTGCTTATATCATTACCTATCGTGGTTTCCTCTATAACCATGTAACTGCCATATGGTTATCTTGATGAGAGTAGTTTGCGGTTGAATGTGTTTGAGGTCGTCCACTTGCCGAGGTGCCTTGCTAATATCTCTTGTCCGATATGACGTGTTAGTGTTTGATGTATTTACCTTAGCTTGTCTGAGTAATCACCTCGGTCGAGTTGACCTGTGACCTCGATTAATCTCGGCTCGAGTTAGGTTGGTACATAAGTCCCCCAAGCTCTGAATGAGGGAGGAATGAAAGAGCTGAGAAAAAGAAACATAGCTCGTCCCTTGATAAAAGGTAGAAGGCAATCTAAGGAATAAAAAATGTTACAAACTGAAGGGTTACACGTGTAAGGACAGGAAGTGTGTCGGTGTAAGTCCAACAGTTGTAGTCTGGGGAAGCGTGAACGGAGGCGACATTTAATCATGACGATTGAGTGGTTTGAGGTGAGGCATTTAATGTGTAAGAATGCGAAGCGTGTGAGACGTGTGGCAAAAGGGTTGCAGTGCTTCACAAGGTAACAAAGGGATGTAGGGAGTGGGATATATAAACAAAGGCTAGCGGTGGTGGTATACGAGTGGCCTCTATATTCGTTGCAAGTGAAGACATTCGTGGAGAATAGGATACGCGAGGGTAGAATATATCCAGGGGCGTACACATTACAGGTACCAAGCGCTTTACTCTTGATCTGTATATTGTGTTGGGTTGGGTATAAAGATTGGGGAAATGGGTAAACCTAAGGAGAGGGCCACAGGGAGTAGGGTGAAGGAGGTGGGCGTGCCAAAGAGGGGTGGGAACAACAGGAAAGATTCCCACCCTAAGATTCTCATGACTGGGTACGAATGGGTGAGGGGGGATGTAGGTAAGTATGAGAGTAGGGTTAGGAATGCGATGGAGGCGAGTGTGTTATAGCATAGATTGAAATTTTGTCTTCCTCCGTATTTAGAGCACCTTTCCATTGAACCCTGTTCGTCTGATGAACGTATATTTTTCCAAGTGTCGACATCGCCTCCCTACATATACATGTACCAATGCCTGTTTAGAGATTTGGGTGTGTTAATCCCCTTTACCCCGTTCGAATGTGAATTTCTAAGAAAGATTAATGTGGCGCCTAGTCAATTACACCCTAATAGCTGGGGTTTTGTACGCGCGTTTCAAATATTATTTTCAGTAATGGGGATGAAGCCAAGTTTGGGGGTTTTCATGCATTTTTATCAGATAAAATTGGGGGAACCACCGTTTGGATGGGTGTCACTGAGTGGGAGTTCGAACGGTGGTTTATTCCAAATTTTCTCGCAATCGTATAAGAATTTTAAAGAAAAGTTTTTCAAAGTTCAATCTGCACATAATGATGCAACCTCGGATCCGATTTTTCACTGGGATGGTGAAGCGAGGTTTCCTCTAAGTTGGCAGGCACAACCCATGAGATTTTCTGGGTTAGAGGGTTTAGTATTATCAGTTGCAGAGAAGAAAGACGATCCCTCTCTCACGCGTCTCGGATGTACCTGCAAAAAAGACTCTGACGATCAAGTTAGTTGTCTATCCTCTCTCATGTGTTGCTTATATCATTACCTATCGTGGTTTCCTCTATAACCATGTAACTGCTGTATGGTCTATAGTGACACTTTTTGTATATCATTGTAAGTAATATTTCTTGTAGTGTTGTTTCAAGTTTGTAATTCCATCAGCATTATCTCCCCCAATAATTATGTCACTAACACATAAAGAAAGTATGTTAAAACCATGGGGGTGTAATATGATGAAAAAAGGTTGAGTCACATGAGTTGTAATGAAATCTAAGATATACAAGCATAACTGGGATTTTTTCAAACCAAGCTTGATGAGCTTGTTTGAGGCCAGATTGAGTTAGTTTTAACTTACAAACTTCCCTAAATTATGAGAAACATAGTGCAACCACAATGGAAATTTATTCTAGTATATCACCATTTAAAAATACATTTTTAACATCCATTTGATACACATATATATACTTATATATATATATATGTGTGTGTGTGTGTAGAGAGAGAGAGAGGACAATTCAAACAACACCGGTGTAACTTTTACTAAGTATTACATCACTCAATAGTTTTATATTAAATATGAATTTTATAAATTCAACCTTTAGATTGAAAGTTCTTTACTCTTAGATCATATATACAAAATTATATATTCATCCAAGATGATTTGATACTTCATTCTTATAAAACAAAATTGACATAATATATACATTTTAAAATATAATAAAACATAAACACTTTGATTACTTCCAAGTTATTTTTTAAATTTAACAAAATTTGATATAAACATATAAAGTGATATGAAGTTATAATTCAATGGTTGGCTTTACAAAATTCACATTTAACTTAGTAAAAGTTACATCGGTGTCGTTTGAACTCTTCTCTCTCTCTTCTCTCTCTCTCTCTCTCTCTCTCTCTATATATAT